TTAATTTCTTTGGTTTTGGTAGTAGCGTTGGCACTACAGCAACGCGGACCGAACCGACTGTCTGCGCGATCCCTCCTGAAGCAGCTTGGCGTTCCTGCGCTATCCCTCCTAAAGTAGTTGTTTCTGTGCCCGTTGTTCCGTTGGCTCGTTCTGGAGTTGGATTCTCTGTGCGCAGTGGCGGTGGTAGGTCACCTCGGGTTTTTCGTACGGTGCGCGACGTTGAGAAATTGAGTGTATGTGGCCTGAACCGCCCGAGTGACTGCCGCGGTCCGCCAGTCCTAGTGGTTTTCTTACGCGCCTTGGTTGCCATCGTAAGGACCTTCAGCTTGTCCTCATGCTTTGTCGATTTCTTGAGAAGCGTCTTCAACATGTCTTTCAGTTCGTCCATGGCTGCCGAATTCGTCATGGTGACATTGACAGCGTCGTCGCCTATGTGGCCGCTCCTGGTTGCCATGTTGTCTAGCCCTGATGCCGAGGAGTCGTCACTGCTGTTGCCGCTGCTGGTCATCTTCTCGTGTACGAAATGGCTCTTTTGTGTCAGAAAGTCTCTAGTGTCCCTTTAGACGGCGCCAAACTATGAGACTCAGACCTTTACAATTAAATTTGTCAAGGGTGTTTGAGAATTAGAGAATTCTATGTCGCGGATTCACTTAGAACACAGACTGAGAATATGTTTTTCAATTGCTGTTTTTGTTAAGCTGTGATTACAAGAACGTTTCTCTGCTAAAAGTTATGAACCCTTTTTTGGGTGAGTACAATGAGCTATATATAGATTTATTAAGTAATACGGGCAACTAACAAAATGAGTTTGACCCATTAAGCAATATATCTAATTTAGGTTCATAATTTCATTTAACCCATTTTGCTTATGGGATTAATGTCATTTTGGATCTAGATTCAGACCGAGCCCTTGTAGATTTGATCTGATTTCGTCAGGACATTGCAAAGTTGATCTCGTCGCTATATCGATCTTATAGTGGTGAAATCCGACCCCTACAGTTGTGTTACTAATTCCATATTTAACATCCAAATATCTTCCGCAATTATAATTCACAGTTATTTAATTAACGTGGTCAATCGTATATTTTAATGTGTGGGATAATAAAAAGAGGGTAGTTTTAGATTAACTTGTTGTTTTTTTTATTGTTGAATATTACT